TTCCCTTACCCACCACCTTGCTGATTAATGCCCAGTCACTGAGGGGGAAAGCGGATGAGTTGTCAGCGAATCTGCGCTTCCAACACGAATATCGGGAGGCCTGTTTGCTGGCATTTACTGAGACTTGGCTGGATGACAGAGTCCCGGACAGAGAAGTGGAGCCGGCCGGCTTCACCCTGGTCAGAGCGGACCGCGATCTGACAGTCACAGGGAAAATCGATCCTGGTAAGAGAGCGACTCTGTACCCCCGACATTGAACTGCTTTCTGTGTCACTGCGACCTTACTATCTGCCCCGTGAGTTCCCCCAATTGTTTGTTACCGTTGTGTACATTCAACCAAAAGCTAATATAACAAAGGCATCAGAGATTATTTATAATCTGTCACAGAAACTGGAATCCATCTCCCCAGATCAGTCAATAAATGCTTCTGGTATTGACTTATATGCTGCCCCTGTCTTCATGTTGTTGCTGGACATATCTTTTTTAAAATGTGTGTAGGTCACCTAAATCATCAGAAAAATTGCCCCCCACTGAGAATTTTTTCAGGAGCCGCCACAACTCTAATGAATTCATCCTCTGAAGCAGAGGTAACTCTGGGTCTTCCATTCCTGTTGCGGTCCTCATGAGAGCCAGTTTCATCATAGTGCAAGTGCAACTGCACTTGAAGAAACTTTAAACGTTTTTGAAATGTTCAGGATTGACTGACCTTCATGTCTTAAAGTAATGATGGACTGTCGTTTCTCTTTGCTTATTTGAGCTGTTCTTGCCATAATATGGACTTGGTATTTTACCAAAAAGGGCTATCTTCTCTATACCCCCCTACCTTGTCACAACACAACTGATTCGCTCAAACGCATTAAGAAGGAAATAAATTCCACAAATTAACTTTAAGAAAGCACACCTGTTAATTGAAATGCATTCCAGGTGACTACCTCATGAAGCTGGTTGAGAGAATGCCAAGAGCGTGCAAAGCAGTCATCAAGGTGGCTATTTGAAGAATCTCAAATCTCAAATATATTTGTATTTGCTTAACACTTTTTTGGTTACTACATGATTCCATATGTGTTATTTCATAGTTTTGATGTCTTCACTATTATTCTACAATGTAAAGAATAGTAAAAATAAAGAAAAACCCTTGAATGTGTAGGTGTGTCCAAAATTTTGACTGGTACTGTATATCTTTTCTTGCTGCTGCCTGTTTTCCATGTTATTTTGGCATTAATACGTGTCACATATCAGTTTGCAAACAATGTAAAAAATTAATAATCATTGAGTTAATAAAGCAGCATACAAATGTCGTGACATGACTTACTTTAATGTAAAGACTGTTTTTTATTGAATCAACTAACTATGTTTAATTGTCACTCGATTAAATTAATCATGTAACAATTAACTCATTAGGAATTTGGGGCACCATGGAAGAAGTTGTTTAATGAGTTACCAACTCCCAAATTTAACTCTTAGAAGATATATATGCTGTATATCGATAAAAGTAACTTATTAAATAATGACCTCTTATCAGTCTCATTCTGAACGTCGCATAATCCTTGAACCTGCAAGAACCTTAACCTTATTGATGAATCAGCAATACACAAATTAATAACACAGAATACAAACACACACACACATAGGTTATTGATTACTAATGTAATACAATGAAAACTGGTCCCTAGTGGACTGGACTAACAATAGCATGACTGCTTGGTTAGAAGGAGGGGTCAGAGTCGAAGGGAGAGACAGAGATTCAAACTATCGTTGTTACATTTTGGAAACTACGCTCACGGAAATACAACATGTATTTACGCGTAGCTGTCTTCGATAGTTGAGTTGATGATGTAGGACTCTGGTTTGCCCACCAGAGATCCCAATGTCTTTGGTAGAGTTTCTGGTCATAGTGGTGGTTAGAATGGATACTTCAGCGTACCCTGTAGTTCTTACAATTGATCTGTTAGAATAGGTACTTCAGCTGTACCAATGGTTGTCGGAGAGGGATTGTCCTTCCCAACTCGTGTCTTTAGTGAAAGTTCTCTAGACAACTATACATGCCAGCTTCAGACTGATATGGTAAGGTCCAGTGCGTGGTCTTTTTCTTCACCTCATTGAGAGTTTCAGAGTTTCACCATTTCAAACGTATGGACTACTGTCTCACATTTTCTGGTCTGTAGAGTGTTAACCATTTTAAGACGTGTGGCTTCCTGATCTCCCTGGTTTTTCTGGTCTAACCATTTTAAACCGTGGAGCCACCGCTCCACGCTTCCTGGTCTAAAGGTTGATTTGTTTTTCAAGGCTTTTTATCCTCGGGTAAAAAGGGGCGTTCCATCACACCGACCCAATGTCTGTGCTTACTTGGGCGTGGTTATTGACTGGCAAAAGCTTCTATGAAAAACTATTATCTCATTTAGAAGGCTAAAATCACATTGCTATCTTCACAAACGTATTCTCATATTTAATCATATATTTTATACAACATTTAGATGAAAACCTGATAACTGAAATGTTTACAGTTCCAGAGATACAGTTATTTAGTAATACCATCCTTAATGACATCACAAAACAATAAACAATATGACATGATTATTCTTTAGATCCCCACAAACCATTCCAACCACTTAGACATCAGAACAAACGTTCCAATGTCCAATCTTTTGGAGAAAAAGATTTTGGCGCCAATCTGTCCCTGTAACACTGAGACATTCAGATCGCCAATACCAATACCAGGGACCAACAATGAGTATTTTATTATTGCAAACCATTTAGGAAATGTGCAAGGGGTCAAGGGGTCAAGGTGTGGGGCAGCCAGCGGGAAATACAGAGCGTAGCGGTTGGTAACGTGATTGGCTCAGTGTTCTGTGCCTCATGGGGACACTATGTCACCGCAACATCTACGGGGAGAGCTCAAAAATTCAAGCCCCATAGAGTTACATTAGAAGTGCCCATCCAAAAAGGTCAAGGTCATTGGCCACGGATAAAATGATGTCAAATCACGTTATATCTACAGTAGCTTTGAATGGATTGATCATATCAACATAATACTTTCATCATGAATCAAGTCGACAATCTATTGGCAAATCCTTTTCAATCCTTGTCATATGAAGATAAATGATGAAGAGAAATTATAGATAAAATGTATCGGTGGACATAAACATTTCACAAGTTGGAAATCCCAAATTCAACAATGAGTGGTTTGGAAGGAATCAGTGGCTAACTGCAAGCATTGCAAAGCCATCACTAGCCTGCTATTCAGTGGAGTGGATATGTCGTCCAAGTCTGGGTTTAAGGAACTATTTTCCAAACATTCAACATTGGCCATGCTGTCAATGCAGCATGACTTCTGCCTCGTTCAAAACAACTGGAAACTCGGAACTGGGAAATCTCAGACTTCAGTGAGTTCAAGACAACTGGGAACTCTGAAAAAAACGAGCTCCGACTGGGAAAATACATTTTTAACAGTCATCCAACTCGGAATTCCATGTCGGGAACTTGGGCCTCTTTGTAGAGCTATGGCCTGAACATCACTGATGTCATGATTCAACCTTGGTTTTTTTTCAGAGTTCCCAGTTGTCTTGAAAGCACCATAAATCCAGAGAATGGCAGACTTTGATGACAAAGTTTGATGACAAAATTTGCCCACAAAGGACCACTGCACCACCTTCCTGTTCAAGTGAGCACAGCACAACAATGTGAGTCCAAAAATGTATTGTATGCTGCTGCATAAATGATGTAATATGCCAGGGAGATATGTAAACTGTAGCTAAGAAAGTAATACTAAGTGTATGTTGTGTAGTAAGCTGTTAGTAGTCCATGTGCCTCACCCTTATAATTTGGTCCCTTTTCCCATCCTAATTTAGCCTACTGTTCTGACTTGGTGGTCTAAATGTAGCCTATAGCCTGTTTTAGAGAAATGTCTTCACCGAATATTGTAAGAGATGTCATTGTCTGCTTATATGCCCCCTTTATTTATCCTGCGGGTCTGACTTGGTGTACAGTGAGAATACTGTAAGAACTGCCATGTTCTGAATTCTGTGCTGAACAAATAGTTATATTGAGTTCGTCATGCCCTTATGCCATAGTTTGTACATCTCAATTGTCCGTAGAAACCACATTTGTTTAAGCAAGTCAGCCATATCAGCTATGTTTTTTAAAAGGCAGTACATGAAGCTGAATGAACTGTTTCGCTGACAGACAAGGCTCTGCTGATAGCCTTGTGTAGTGGTGGTGTAGGTGTTGGGACTGCTGTTGGGACTCTGCTGTTGGGACAACTTTATGTAGGCCCTAACAGTTTGTGGGCACCGTTTGTCACCGTTATAGTCCAATTAATGTATTGTTAAGTGTTGTGTTGTGTAGCGTCTTTGCTGGCATGCACCTAAAAAAAAATGTTGAGTTTGCCCCACCAAGATTTATATGCTAAAATCACCAATGGGTTAAGGTTAGGGTTCCGGTTGTGGCTAGGGTTAAGGTTGATCCAGGGTGTGGACATTAAGCTAGGGTTAGGGTTAGGGTAATGGTTAGGCTATGCCCATCTTAAAATAATTATATATGTCAATTTATAACACTCCCCACCAACCTATTAGACTCTACAGAATTATATTATGGATGCAGTGTGCCAACACTTTACAGGTGTCGTTGTGGTATAATTTCCCCCTCAATTAGCATATCAAACTAAATCAACCTGAGAAGGGCAGCATTTCACAGGGAATCCTTTTAGTAGTTCAACTACATTGAATATACAATAAGCTCCTCCTCTACTGCAGAACCCCACAATTATGAGACTTCTCAGCTACAGTGGATGGAACATAAAGTCTATAACAGTCTATTCTTCCTCTATACATGAATCATAATGGCACCTTGGCTTAGGAATACTTTACTTAACCTGGCTGCATGCTATTTTGGTACAATATAGTGCTTTTCCTTCCTATTCTCTTTGTGTGAATTTTAGCTAATAATCTTATACAATTATTGATTATAAAAAATACATTATAACTACTTTTTCAGATTGCAGAGGTGAAGAGTCTGTTGACCAGCAGAGTGGACATGTTACTGCCCTTGAAGGAGGACTGGTAACACTCAGCTGTAACTACACTAGCAGTAGTCCATCTCCTGATCTCTTCTGGTACATCCAGTTAACTAGGGACTCTCCTCAGTATGTCCTGAGAAGAGATCGTTATTCAGAAGGGAGCAATAGTGATGAGTTCAAGAAGAGGTTTGATTCCAGGCTGAATTTCACATCTAGCTCTGTCCCCTTGATGATCCAGAGGTTACAGCTGTGTGACTCTGCTTTGTACTACTGTGCTCTGAAGCCCACTGTGACAACAGGAGATTCAGTCACTGTACAACAACTCATGGTAGAGTGTTGTTAAGACAATGTCACAAGCTTCTCAATGTGACATTGTCAATGATGATACACTGAAAGAGGAGAAGACAATGATTTCATAGTCTTATGGCACATGTAGCATACATCAGTGTGTTTTACTCTTCTCCCACCCATCTCACTGTAGGCATGGAACCCTAGCTGAGGAATTTACTGATTCTTGCTGCATGTTGTTATGTATGATAATATTATTTTCCTAATTCGTTTACTGCCTTTGCTCCAATCCCTTTTTTTCCAGACATATTTCTCAATATAACATTACCAGTATTCGTTTCAAATGTTTTTATATATTCTATCATGTGCGGTCCCTTGTGGCTCAGTTATAGAGCACGGTGCTTGTAAACCAGGGTTGTGGGTTAGATTCCCACGGGGGACCAGTATGAAAAAGTAAAAAAATGTATGCACTCACTACTGTAAGTTGCTCTGGATAAGTCTTCTAAATAAATTAATTAAAACATGTAAATCATGTTGCTTTATTATTATCTTCTTTAATACAAATGTGTCCTTTTCAGAATGCAGAGGAGAAGACACAGTCGCTCAGCCACCAGGAGATGTGACCGCTACTGAGGGAGAACAAGTCACACAGGGCTGTCAATTTGATGCAGTTAATACTAATAATCTGTACCTGTTCTGGTACAAGCATGAAGTAAATAGCTTCCCCAAAGTTCATGCAGTGATGTACAAATGCCACTGAGTTCAAGGAGTGATTTGATGCCAATCTCGATACAGACTCCAAATCAGTCTCGTTGACGATCCAGAGGGTGCAGCTGTCTAAATCTGCAGTGTACTACTGTGCTCTGAGGCCCACTGTGACAACAGGATATACAGCCCCCTCACAAAATCATACTGAGCTACACAACAACAATACACCTGTCTGGACAGTTTACAATACCACTTTGAAATTGACACAGTAACCTTCTCACTACCTCCCTGATACTACCAAGACTAGTGGTAGCAGATGATGATAATCACATTGATGATGATGATGATGATGATGATGATTATGCAGTAAGTCATTGTTGATGCCAATAGAGCTCCCTCTTCCAATTCAGCTCTAATTGTAGATGTAGGATACATTAACATGCCATTGCAATATATAATGGATTAGAACATATACAGCTAGTAGTGTCTAACTAGATTAACTCAGGAGGAAAACGTTATACTCAGTATTGTGAACTCATTAATGTAAAAGCCAGCATCAACCACAAGTGGGCCACATAATTAAACATCAAACCACAATTTGATATCGTAATGGCAGAGGTTTAGAACAGAGAAGTGTGGTCACACCTGTGCTGTGTGCAATCACCAGGTGGTGTAGTGTGTCTCTGTCTTCATATTCAATGAACTGTGAGAAATATGTCTTTGTCACTCTTCTAGTCTTCAATTTCAGTTAGACAGGTATTTTAATATTGGTTGGAAAAGCACTTGGGAATATGACAAAGTGCAACAATATTATTGTTTGTAGTTACTCCTCCTCACAATTCACTTTAGAATTCAAACTGACTTACTAGTCATGAGAAATTAGCAGATCCTGCATGTTGTGGCTGCATGTTGCTTTGGTATAACATCACTCTGTTCATCTGTCTCTTTCTGTGCATTTGTTCATTTTATTTAGAGACATTATTATTAAATGTTGTGAAGACATATTCATCTTTCTTTTCAGGTTGCTGAGCAGAAGAGAGTGTCCCACAGCCAACAGAATGTGTAATGGTCGTGGAAGGACAACCGATAAAGCTCACTTGTCTATTCGATAGAACTTATTAATCACCATGTCTTTTGGTACAAACAAAAAGCAAATGTCAACCACATGTTTATGCTGATAAGGGATACCTTTTCACCTGGGGAAAGTACTACTGGGTTTAAGGAGAGATTTCATGCCCATCTGAATATCACCACAAGGTCAGTCCCCTTGTCCATCCAGAGGGTGCAGCTGTTTGACTCTGCTGTGTACTACTGTGCTCTGAGGTCCACTGTGACAACAGGATGTACAGCCCACTTACAAAAACTATAGGTTTCTCATGTGCCTATAGACACATACAGTATCAATGAAAAGTTGGGACCAAAACACAATATATATTTCAATATAGACCTGAATTAGATACTCTGTAGGCTACATGAGTGTTTGTATCTGAATTACAATAGAATATGTGCACGTTTTCAAACATCAATTTCCAAATAAGTTAATCATACTCACTTCATGTATGTCATTGTCAATAGTTAACATATTATCTGAGCTAGACATAGGTGTTTCACTTCGTCTCTAATGTACTGCAAAGAGTGCTAATATAATACTGACGAGGTGATATTGACCCATACATTTTTATACAATCTTACCCCTCTCTGAACAGGCTCCTCCTTCATGTCTATCAGTTGATGGTGATATACAGGCTGAGATGGACATGGAAGAGAGAGAGAGGATCTCTACCTCTTACTGTAACTCACAGTCACTCTCTGTGTGTTCTGCATAGCCATGGTACTCTGTCTGATCATCTGGCTGGTTCTTGCAGTATTGTACTTCGGTATGATGGAACCTTTTCTCTCATTGGTTTATCTCATCTTTAACTAATTTTACCTATAATTTTATAATTTCAATAATCTTTCAAATTATCACTCAGTCTTTCTTTTTTCCCCAGAGTGCACAGGAGACCATGTTCAACAGCAACCAGGAGGTGTGATTGCTACAGAAGGAGGACTGGTAACACTGAGTTGTCAATATAACACCAGTGCTAATAATGCATATCTATATTGGTACAAAGAAGAAGCAAATGATTTCCCTAAACATACAATTTAGATAGCATTTCCAGATAGAATTGAAGTCTCAAATAAAGTGCAGGAGGCCAATAGGAACTATAAACCCTTATCTACAAACCACAGAAGAAGAGTTACATATCCAGTTATCAAATAATGGGCTTCAATGTCAAACACTTGTATAGGCTGGGTATACATGCAACCACGATGATGTCTCTGTAAAGGCTCTCTCACTGTCTTATATCTCAGTTGGTTTATCTGGTTTATCAAGTCTGTGTCAGGATGTCTGTTTTACGAACCCCGTGGTTAGCAGTAAGCTTAGTAGTTCTTGAGGCAGGCAAGATCAGTTTAGGGGTTTTTGACTTCATTGTTTCATTCCTTGGGTCCAGCTCAGCCCCTTTTCCCCAAACCATTTACCGTGTGTTTTATAATAAACATTTTATGTTTGACGGTAGCATTTGGTTGTTGGCGTATTTTGTTCTCACTGTTCCTTGGCAATAGCCTAATTTGCATGAGTTATGTAACGGGCCTCTTTTCCATCCACCCTAGACTTTTAAAGCAACAGGGTTCATAACATAACGTGGGGGCTTGTCCGGGATATATCTCAAAGATACCCATACCGCTCATGCAAATTGGTTTAGTGTCTGGTTCAGTGTTGAGCTTGGTTGCTGTAACTAACTGGTTTTGTGTTCAGTATTCGTCGGCTCGTGTTGCTAGCTTAAGATGGCTACGTTTGATTTGGATGCCTTTTTGGAAAAACCTACGTGGGAGGTTTTTTGATAATTGCCGTAGAGTGGATCTACAGGCTTTGGCTGACCACTTTTCTGTACCCATACCAAGGGTTTTAGTGAAAGCAGAAGTTAGGAAAGCAGTGTTAGAGATATTATTGAACGAGCGAGTGCTTGAGTTACCGCCGCCGGAGCCTGCTGCTCCTGTAGGGGATGTGGCTGCTGCTCCTGTAAGCCCGTCGGTGTCTGAGGATGAGGCTAAGGCTACAGCCACATTGCCCCGTTTTGACCCACTCTCCCCACTGTCCGACAGTGATGCCAGGATGGATGTCCTCTCGACACGGCTCCAAATGGAGGCGGAAGAGAGGGCACAAAGCAGGCAAGAAAAGTTGGAGATGCGTAAGATGGAACTGGAGATGTGTAGACTTGATCAGGACCTGGAGATACGTAAGATGGAATTGGAGGCAGAGACAGCAAGGTTAGTCATACTATGCCTGCTAGTGAGCCGTCCTCACCAGCTGTGTCGTCTGCTACTTTTGATATTAGTAGACAGATCACCTTGGTACCTGTGTTTAGGGAGTCAGAGGATGATTCTTATTTCAGTGTTTTTGAGCGAATAGCAGTAGCATTGAAATGGCCCAAAGAGGTATGGTGCCTATTACTTCAGTGTAAATTAACAGGTAAAGCCCAAGAGGTTCTGTCAGTGCTACCTCTTGAAGACAGCTTGAATTATGACGTGGTCAAAGCTACTGTTCTTCGTGCCTATGAGCTCGTTCCTGAGGCATATCGACAGAGATTTAGTTCTCATAAAAAGTATTCTACATAGACTTATGTGGAGTTTGCTGGAGACAAGGGAAATCTGTTTGACAAATGGCACACTGCTAGTAAGGTAACTGATTTTAACTCTCTACGGGAGTTAATCTTGTTAGAAGAGTTTAAAAATTGCTTACTTGAACGCATTTGTAGTTTATCTGAACGAACAGAAATTATCCTCACTGTCGGAAGCATCTGAATTGGCAGACGAGTTTGTGTTGACGCATAAGAGCGTATTTTCGGCTCGTACAGAGAGCAGGGCCGCGGAGTTGCTAACTCTTAGCCCTAGTCGACCAGCAGTACATCCAGCACACCCGAAAGATGTGCGTCACTGTTTCTATTGTCATAAGGTGGGACATATGGTTAATGATTGCCTTCTGCTAAAACGCAAACAGGGGATGCCTCTGCACGCCAGGCCGCCAACGGGTGTTGGGCTGATTCGTACGGTTGTAAGGCCGGAATCAAAACAGATGCCTCATAGTGAATGTGGTTTGAAAGTCCCAGTCCCAGATCACAGTTATGAACCGTTCATTTTTGAGGGGTTTGTTTCCATATCAGATGACGAAGCGTCTCAGCATCCGGTTAGAATCCTCAGAGATACTGGTGCGGCGCAGTCGTTCATACTATCTGATGTGTTGCCCTTGTCCGATAATACATATTGTGGTCCCAGTGTGTTAGTACAAGGATTTGAAATGGGATTCGTCCCAGTGCCATTGCACTTTGTGAACGTACACTCTGAGTTAGTCAGTGGATTGTTCAGAGAAGAAGTACGTCCTATGTTGCCAGTAAAAGGTGTGACATTTATAATGGGCAACGATATTGCCGGAGGAAAGGTGATACCCGTATTGGAGGTATTGGATAAAAGTGACCAGTCTCTCTCCGAGGAGCTGGCACAGGGTTATCCAGATGTGTTCCCCGCTTGTGCTGTCAAACGTGCTCAAGCACGACAAGTGGGTGACGTGACAGATTTGTCTAACACGATTCTATTCAGAGAGTGTGACCCATAGGATAGCTTGGGTGCTACCTCTGGTAAGCTGGTGCAGTCTGACCAGCAGCCCAGGGAAAGGAAGAAGTATGTGGAACTTGTTGCTGAGGCAATACAGTTACTAGTCACTCGTGAGCAGCTGATCGCTAACCAGAAGGTTGACATTAGCCTGGCTAAATATTTTTCTAGTGTTGTCTCAGTGGAGGAGCTAAAGAAGAAAAACATGGCATACTTCATTGATGGTAATCTCCTCATGCGTAAATGCACATCCCATGTTGACGCTGGTGGAGATCGGAATGCTGTTTACCAAATAGTGATTCCTACAGCCTTTCGACACAATGTTGTATTCCTCGCTCATGATCACCAGTGGTCCGGACATCTGGGAGTCACCAAGACTTATGATCGGGTTATGCAACATTTCTTTTGGCCTGGTTTAAAACAAGATGTGGCTCAGTTCTGTCGGACATGCCACCCCTGTCAAGTAACTGGGAAACCGAACCAGGTTATTCCTCCCGCGCCTCTTTGTCCCATACCTGCCATAGGTGAACCATTCGAACATGTGATGGTTGATTGTGTTGGACCATTACCAAAGACAAAATCTGGTAACCAGTTTCTGTTGACGATTATGTGTGTGGCCACCAGGTACCCAGAGGCCATTCCTCTGCGAAGGATTACTGCTCCGGTAGTGAGTAAAGCTTTGATCAAATTCTTCTCAACTTTTGGGTTACCTAAGGTGGTACAAACTGATCAGGGTACGAATTTCCTTTCTAAGCATTTCAAACAAGTATTAAAATCCTTGTCAGTTACACACCATGTGTCAAGCGCATATCACCCAGAGTCTCAGGGTGCGCTTGAACGTTGGCATCAGACATTGAAGTGTATGCTCCGAAAATATTGCTTGGAATCTAAGAAGGATTGGGATGAGTGAGTTCCTCTAGTTTTGTTTGCTGTCAATGAGATGGTACAGGAATCCCTAGGGTTCAGCCCAGCTGAACTGGTGTTTGGACACACCGTGAGAGGACCTATGAAAGTCCTTAAGGATCAGTTTTTATCACAAGAGTTGTGTGCGAAAGTAAACATGTTGGACTACGTTAGTCGCTTTCGTGAGCGCCTACATGGTGCCTGTGCTCTAGCAAAGGAAGCGCTGTCTTCCTCACAGAGACGTATGAAACGGCACTATGACGACCAGGCTGTTTCTCGTTCACTGCAGCCAGGTGACCAAGTTCTTGTATTGTTGCCTATATCAGGAGCGTCATTGTCAGCACGTTTCTCTGGTCCTTATGTAATTGAAAAGAAACTAAGTGAAACTGACTCCGTGATACAGACTCCTGATAGAAAACGCCAATCTCGTGTGTGCCACATTAACATGTTGAAGACATACCACACCAGACCCGTCACTCAGATAGACAGTCCAGAGAAACTGGCCGAGATGGCTGTCTCTATTGCTGCTGCGGCTGTAGTAGGAGGTCATGTTAATGATGTGGACGGAGATGGTTTGGAGTTGCGCAATACTCAGCAGCAGTGTGCTAGATTGCCCAATTCAGAGATGCTGCTGTCTCTCACGTCAAGCCTGATTCATTTAACGGACGGACAGTCAGATGATATTGTGAGGCTCTTACACAGCTTTCTATGTCTTTTTAATGATGTTCCTACACGCACAAATGTGTTAGAACATGACATTAATGTGGGAAACGCTGCACCTATCAAGCAACATGCTTATCGTGTCAACGTCTCTAAAATAAAGATAATGAGGGATGAGGTCGGTTATTTGCTGGAGAATAACCTGGCTATGCCAAGTTCAAGTCCTTGGAGTTCTCCGTGCATTCTGGTTCCCAAACCTGATGGGACATCCAGGTTATGTACGGACTATTGAAAGGTCAATGCTGTCACAGTGCCCGACTCGTTCCCGTTACCCAGACTGGATGACTGTATTGACACTGTTGGAGCTGCTACTTATGTAACCAAACTAGATCTTCTAAAAGGTTACTGGTAGGTGCCGTTAACCTCACGTGCCTCCGACATCTCTGCCTTTCTGACCCCAGACCACTTCCTACAATATGCTGTCATGGCATTTGGGATGTGGAACGCACCAGCCACTTTCCAAAGCCTGGTTAACACAGTATTGGCTGGCGTTCCTAATTGTAGTGCTTACCTTGATGATCTGGTAATTTATTCAAATGAGTGGTCAGATCATATTAACACTCTAAGGGTAGTGTGTGAACGTCTAGCAGCCGCTTCTCTAACCCTGAACTTAGCAAAGTGCGAGTTTGGGAAGGCCACTGTTACTTATCTCGGTAAACAGGTCGGCCATGGTCAGGTGCGCCCAGTAGATGCCAAGGTCTCAGCTATAAATGCATTTCCTGCACCTACCACCAGAAGAGAGCTACGACGCTTTTTAGGG